TGTGTGCATTTGCAAGCGTGTGTGCGCGTGCATGTGAGTTTGTGCATGCGTCTGTAGACACCTGTGTGTATGTGTTTGTTTACGCGCGCACCTGTGTGATTGGTGGGGGGCACGAAATGGGACGTGGCACGGGTGCCCTGCCCGCTCGAAGGGCCAGCTGGCGTGGCGGCCACACAGGGGCCTTTGGATGCGGCTTGACCCGCGCCTAATGCGCGGCCAGGGTGGTACCCGGCGGGCCAGCCCCAAGTTGCCCTCAAAGCTTCCTCCGAACAACCGCCTTCTGTCCCTGCGCCCTCCTCGACTCCCCCTCACCACGCTCCAAACCTGCACCCTGGAATGCCAGTCATGCCTCCTCCCCCCCCCTCGCCCTCCTCCCCCCCCCCCCAGGTGATGGAGTCTGTCGGGCTGTCGGACATACCCCTCAACATCCCGCCCGGCGCCCTGTCCGGCGGCCAGCAGCGCCGCCTTGCGCTGGCCATCCAGCTGGTGCGGCAGCCCTCGCTGCTGCTGCTGGACGAGCCCCTGTCAGGCCTGGACTGGCGCGCGCGCGCTGAGGTGATGAGAGGGTCCGGGGCGCTCCGCCGCAGTTTTTCACATGTGTTGACAGGGCTGGCGCCTCGCGGCGGTTAACCGCCGGCTGGCGGGCGGGCCTGAGCAACAGAGGAGCGGGATCGCCCCGAGCCTTACCGGGAGAGAAGCTGCCTGAAAACACCGTTGGCGACGCGGCCAGCTTCACGGCCGACAGTGCACGCCGGCACCTCGCCCACGCACAAACAAGAACAACCCCCTGCGCCGACCTGCCTTTTGCACATGACGCTCCAGGTCGTGGAGCTGCTGCTGCAGGTGAAGCGCCACTGCACCCTGCTGGTGGTCAGCCACGACCTGCGGGAGCTGGCCCCCCTGGTGGATGTCGCGTGGCGCATGCGCATGGGCGGCAGCATGGAGGCCGTCGCGTGGCCGCCCGGCAGCCTGACTGACCTGGAGGAGGAGGGGCGGGGCAGCGGGGGCCGGGGCGACGGG